AACTAAGCAGTGAGTTCCTAGTCTATTTGAATCTCTACCCCGTGCCGCGCAGTTTCCCGTAACTCACATTGGGCTCCGCCCGCTAGGCTTTAGGATTGGCCTTTCAGATTGCCCAGGGCTCGCCCTTGAATTTGTCCCACCCTGCGCCTCGCAAGTCCCTGAATCACCACTTTGCGTCAATCCCCACGCCCCAAACTCACCTTCTACAGTACTTCGAATAACCCAACTACACCTACACTAGCAAGTAACTGAATCTATTGCAAACAACAATACATTCTGTGACACCCCTCTCTCCCCCATCTCCTCTATCCTTCCCACTCCCCCCTTCCGCCCTGCGCGCACCTTAGCGCCGACGACGCCGAGCAGCAGAGCGCAGAGCAGCAGGTTGTAGAGCGCGGCGGCGGACTCGACGGACTCCGACATGTGGCGGAACGACGCCAGCCACAGCGCCGACGCGTCCACCGCCGGCCCCTCAGACGCCGCCACGTGTCCCGCTCCCGCCTGCTCGCTTCCCTGCCTCCCCTCCGCCGCAATCACCTCGCCTCCCTCCGCCCCCGCGCCCTCCTGCCCCGCGCTGCCGCTCCCTGCAGCGGTCGTCGCCGCCGCCGCCACCGCCGCCGCCGGCTGCTCCACTGCCGCCTCGGGAATCTGAGCAGCCGATGCCGCCGGGGCCGGCGGAAACGGCTGGAGCTGCGCCGGCGGGAGCGGCGCAGCTGCGGGCCACTGGCGGGCGAGCGAGTGCGCGCCGTGCTGCAGGTGCGCGTGCATGATGTTGAGGTGCAGCCCGAAACACACGGCGCTCAGCGCCGCGTACGCCGCCAGCGCGCCCGCCACCCACACGCGCGACATCGCGCCGCCCCTCCCCGCGCCCAATCAACTAAACTCCCTCCGCTTCGCGCCGTGGTGCGTCCACTCGAGTATCACCCGCTTAACTAGTGTCCGACGACCGATATAACACCTGTGCTAATAGCTGCTACGAGTTGCTAATTTGTTTCACGCGACTGCCTTACGAGGCGACGTTTTGCTGCCGAAGGCGGACTTTCTATCATCGTACGCTCCTCTCTTCGTTTTGGCAGCGCCGTTAGAGACAGCAGTGTACATTCCGAAAGGCTATCGCTATGGTGAACAGGCGACAACAGGCGACGATGACGACGACCGCGACAATACAAGCGACCTTTGACGACTCAAACCTCAGCGCACACGCGAAACTATAACACACTCACTGGAACCGCAACAAGTGGTAAGGAAGCTCACGGCACGGACGAGTCGGAAGATTTGACGATACGCTACTCACTACAATGCCGCATCTACATGGATATCGGAATGAAGCTAGAATTTCTGTCGGTTCTCGGGTGTGTCTGGTCTGGACGTTGGCGCGAGGAGGGAGCGCAACGCAAGCGAGTTCAGTTCCAGCCTGCACGACTGCACCTCATCTCAATTCTCATCCATCTCTGGCGGGGCATTCCCCGCCACAGCTGTCGGCGGAAGAGAAGCGGAGAAGCGGAGGCACCCCCCACACCCCACCCCATCCCGCGCTAACCCTTTCTGCCCGAATTCTTTCCGCTCCGCCACAGTCAAGTTCCCGCCAACGGAGCTTCAACCCATGAGGCAACCATGCGCTCGCTCCCGCCCGCCCACCCTCGAAGTTGGCTGGTTGCCGTGTCGCTCAGGTTTCGACACACGCAGTGCTCATGCGAACGCCCTCTTGAGCGACTGACTGCCCAGTTACGAGGGGCGTGCGACGTGACCGAAGTTGTTGAACCAATACAGTGGGTCGCCCACAGTCGCACGACCAGTCTGCTCAAAGGGCCGTGCGTTCCGTCAGGTACAGTCAAAATCGGTGGAAAAGCTTGGACCGAAACTCGGTATAGACAGCATCGTAAATTTAATCGAACAAGAGACATGACCATACAAAAGAATATAGTGCTTCATATTGAAGCACTAGTACTACATGGCGAACACATAATTTTCTAGAGTTATGTCAGCAAGAGAGGTCTGAAGCAACGAGCGCGTTGCCTAGGTGCCTCTAGATTGGAGACAAGGTGCTGGCATATGCGAGCAATGCATGAGTGGATGCGGGTGAGCATGTCATTGTTAGACGGGGCAGACGATGAGAGCGTCGATTGGCAGAAATGAAGGATCCCACGCAGGTCAGAAGCCGACAAGTCAGTGCGTTTGCACGCAGCCTGAAACACAAGAGATGCAGCGGAGAGCAACACAGCAGTGAGTCAGAACGCAAGAGACACGCAACGTCAGTGCCTTGTGGTAAGCAATAAAAGACAGCAATAATGGTAACGCAAGAGCAGGCCAATGAACAATGACAGTAATCACAGTACCTGAACAAGCAGCAGGGAGGCGAGGCATTGCTGCATGATCGTCCGCACGTCCCCCGCCGCACCAGAAGCCCGAACCTGCCCCTCCGCGCCTCCACTGCCACAGCCTTCCCTCTCCTCCCTCCGACCCCCCTCCTCCCTCTCGCCTCCCACCACCCCATGCGCCATTGCTGCTTCATGCAGCCCCTCCTTCCCCCCCGCCCCCTCTCCCCCGCCACCAGCACTGCCAGCAGCACGCGCGGTGCTGCTCCGAGGGGAGGTGGGGGGGCGGAGGGTGTGAGGAGGGGGTCTGGCCTTGGTGGTGGAGGACCGGTGCGGGCTGATCACATGCCCTGCTTCGCCCGCTGCTGCTGCTGCTGCTGCTGCTGTGGGTGGAGCAGGGGAGCAGGTGCTTGGGGGGAAGGCAGGCACGGTGACAGACGGGGAGGCGGGGGGGAGGGAGGGGGGGCTGGCAGAGGAGGGGGGGGAGGGGGAGAAGAGTACGCGGTGGTGGTCTGGGGAGGCAGCAAGTGAGGGAGCCGGCACAGCAGCTGGGGGCGCCGGTGCAGTGGCAAGCGGAGCAGGTGCGGTGGCGGGTGTGGCAGGGTCGGTAAGGGCCCCTATCTCTTTCTGCTGGGCAGCAGCGTTGCCTTGGCTCCTCTCTTCCCCCCCTCCCATCGTGCGTGCCCCTGGTGCTAGCCTGCCATCACCACCTGCTGCAGCGCCTGCACCACCACCCGTGCTCGTGACTGCTGCAGCAGTCGCACTTTCACCTGCAGCACCAGCTGTTGCAGCAGCAGCGGCAGCAGCAGCAGCAAAACGGGTACGAGTGTCAACAGCGGCAGCGGGTGGAGCGGCAGCACGGGCGTCAAGGGCATCACGGGCGGTGGTGACAGCATCAGCCTCAGAGCCCCCTGTGGTGCCCGTCGTCACTGACAGCCCGCCCTCCTCTGATGCACACAGCAGCCCCCTCGCCCCCACCCCCTCCTCCCACCGCCCCCCTGCTCCCTCTGCCCCCCCTGCTCCGCCTGCTCCCCCTGCCCCTGCTGCTCCCCCCCCTGCCCCTGGCACGGGGCAGGGGTGCTTGCCGGGGCTTCTCAGGGCGGGTCCCTGGGGGGTGAGCTGCAGCAAACGGTAGCGCGAGGCGTGGGGGGGCGGGGTGCTGGCAGGGAGGGGCACAGGGCGCGGAGCGTATGGAGGAACCGGTGCAGGGTGTTGTGATACGGTGTGGTGAGGTTCAGTGCGGTGTCGCATGATGTCTGCATCAGCTGCAGGTGCAGCAGATGGGGCCGCAGGGGCGGCAAGGGAGGGTGATGGGTGGTGGTGTTGTTGCTCTGGTGTCTGTTGAGTTGCCTGTGGTGCTCCGTGTGGGTGCAATGGCTGCATTGGAGCAGTGGCAAGAGGACCAGAGAAAGCAGCAAGAGGAGCAGATGGAGCAGTGGCAAGAGCCGCAGGAGGCATGGTGGTGGGTGGGGGGATACCAGTTGCAGGGGTGAAGATGGGTGGAGGCGAGGGGAAGTGAGGTGGGGGAATGTGTGGCGGAGGGAGGGAGGAGAGAGCATGGGAGAGGAGCAGCGAGGGGTCAGCGGTGGGCGGGCAGAGGGAGAGGGCGTGCAGGGCAGCGGCCACCATGGCATGTGCCCTCTGCTGCGCCTCGCCTATCATCTGCTGCACCCCCGCTGACACCTCCCCGCTGCCACCCTCCTCTTCCCCTCCCACCGCCCTCCCTCTCCCGCTCACCACCCCTTGGAGAATTCCTTGACCCTCCTGCTCCATTTTCCCCCCTTCCCCTCCGCCCGCACCCCTCTCGTGCCCCTGTCTGCGCTCTGCTCCTACCCCTGGTTCCCTGCTCGGCTCATCCCAGCGCGCCTCCGCTTTGCCCTCCTCCTGCGCCTCCCCCATCGCCTCTCCCAACTGCCCAGCCCCGTCCACTGCTGCTGCTGCTGCTGCTGCTGCTGCTGCTGCTGCTGCTGCTGCTGCTGCTGCTGCTGCTGCTGCTGCTGCTGCTGCTGCTGGCGCTGCTGCTGGCGCGGCTGGTGCTGCTGTCATTGCCACCATTGCTGGTGCCGCTGCAGGTGGTGGTGGTGGTGCTGCTGCTACTGCTGGTGCCGTTGGTGCTGCTGCTGGCGGTGCTGCAGGCACCACAACCGGTGCAGGGGCAGGGGCTCTCAGGAGGTGCGGGGGAGGTGCAGGGGGAACTGTGGGCGGCAGTGAAAGCGGAGGAAGCGAGAGGGCTTGGGGTTGTGGGGGAATGAGAGGGGGGAGGCGCAGAGGCGCGTTGGCGAGGGCAGTGTGGGAGGAGGAGGCAGTGAGGAGGCGAGCAGCGGAGATGAGCGGGGAGGGGATGGGGGAGGCGAGGAGAGGGGGGGCGGCGGGGGAGGGCAGCAGGCGGTGGGTGGGGTGGGGGGGAGGGGAGGAGGGAGGGCGAGGGGCGGGGGAGCGCGGGGTGGAGGAAGCGGTTGCGACTCCTGAGGGCTTGCAGTGCCTCGTCCAACTGTGGGGCGGTGGGAGGGGCATGGTGGCACGGCATGGGGGAGATTGCATGGGATGAGACGGGTGCATTGCATGAGAAGTGACGCATAGAAAGGTGGGGGTGTGGTGGGTGCAGATGGGTGCATGAGGCAGGAGGGAAGAAGGGTGAATGCGCTGTGATTAAGGAATGCAAGAGACGCTAGCACCTATTCCCACCGCTCACGCACTTGTCCGTCTGCCTCACCTGCTTGTCCGTGTCTCTAAGCTGCAGCAGCACCACGGCATACTGCCGCTGAAACGACTCGTCCAGCCCCACACCGCCCTCCGCCACACCCCCGACCCCACCCCCTGCCAGGGCCCCCTCTCCCGCCCTCCCCTGCAGCACCCCCAGCTGCCCCTCTGCCCGTGCGTTGAGCCACTGCAGCTCCGCCAGCAGCGCAGCCTGGGAGGGGGAGGGAAAAGGAAGAACAGGGAGTGAATCAATTTGCCCCGCTGCTGCGCCCCCACATGCCCCAACTGCCCCAGCCACCCCTCTGCCTGTGCGTTGAGGCACTGCAGCTCCGCCAGCAGTGCAGCCTGGGAGGCAGCAGCGTGATGTGAAAGGGGGGAGACGGGCGGGACGGGACGCAGCACATGGTTGGCAGCAGGGAGGGGAGAAAAAGGGAGAGACGGAAGGGAAGGGAAGGGGAAGGAAGAAGAGGGGGTGAAGGGGAGCTGAGTAAGAGGGCACATGGGTCCCTGGGTGAAGGATCTCTCAAGGGGAACTCTAACGAATCCTGTTAGCATCAGCCCACAGTATGGGTCACAGCAGCGTGCCACCTCCACCACGGCGCGCACATGGTGCTCTAAACAATCGCCTCACAACTTGCCGAAAGCTTTGTTAGAAAGGAAATACCTGATAGATCGACCCTCACAACTTCCCTCTCCCTCACCTTCTTGTCACAGCAGCGCGCCACCTCCACCACAGCGGGAACATTCTGCTTGTTGAAACGATCAACCCCTGATAAATCCCCTCTCTCTCACTCACCTTCTTATCGCAGCAGCGTGCCACCTCCACCACAGCGCGCACATCCTGCTCCCTCGACTGCCCCCCATCTCCCGGACTCGCCCCCCCCACCAGCGGGGCAGGCAGCGGCCTGTGCGTGGGCGTCTTGAACGACTCTCCTGCACCAGCCGCAGCAGCAACAGGAGCAGTTGCTGCAGCGGGAGCAGCAGGCGCAGTGGCAGCAGCAGGTGCAGCAGGCGGAGGGGAGAGGCAGCCGTTGAGATCCAAGTGACCTGGCCCGCCCTGCCATGGCTGCCCGCCCTGCCATGCATGCTGCGGCGATGGGTGTACGCCATCCATACTGCTCTGCACTGCTGGGTGTGCGCCTTGCATGCCCTGCTGTGGCAGGTTCATCACGCCATACATGCCATGCATGCCATGCAAGGGCAGCACATCCACGTCCACATCAGCCACTGCATGTGTGCCCAGCTGCCCCTCCTCAAAGCGCACCACCACCACCGCCTCCCCTTCCCCCCTCCCCTCCCCATACTCCCTTCCCTCCCTCCCCCCACCATGGCCCACGCCCACCACCCTCCCCGCTGCTACCACGCCCGTGGCAGGGTGCACTGCCAGTACCGCCTCCCCCACTTGCACCTGCCCGCCCCCTTGCACAGCCACTCCTGCAGGCGCACCAGCAGCAGCGGCGGCAGCGGCAGTGGCGAGGGCGGTGCGCGCGGCAGCACGGAAGGCGTTGAGGTTGGCGCGCTCCTCCGCCAGGAAGGCGGGGGAGAGGCGGCGCGGCTTGCCCATGGCGCTGGGGGGATTGGGGGAGGGGAGAATGGGGGAAATGAGGGGGGAGGGAAGGGGGAAGGGGGAAGCGGAGAGAGGAGAGGAGGGTAGGATGAGAAGGCGTTGAGGTTGGCCCGCTCCTCTGCCAGAAAGGCGGGAGAGAGGCGGCGCGGCTTGCCCATGGCGCTAGGGGGATGGGGGGAGAGGAGAATGGGGAAAGGGGGAAGTGGGGAGAGGAGAGGAGGTGGTATGAGATGAGAAGGCGTTAATGTTGGCCCGCTCCTCTGCCAGGAAGGCTGGGGAAAGATGATGAGGCTTGCCCATGGCGCTGGGGGGAGAGGGGAAGGGGGAGGGGGGAAGGGGGAAGGGGGAAGCGGGGAGAGGAGAGGAGGGTAGGATGGGAAGGCGTTGAGGTTGGCCCGCTCCTCTGCCAGGAATGCTGGGGAGAGGCGGCGCGGCTTGCCCATGGCGCTGGGGGGATGGGAGAAGAGGGGTGGGGGAGTGAACGAAGTGGGGAGGGGAAGGGGATGGGCAATGCTTGAGTTGAGAGACGCGGGTTGGGGGAGACATGGAGGGAAGGGGAATGTGTGTTTGGAAAGTGATGTGGGAACGAGACTGAAGGCAAGGGGGCGGAGAAGGGTAGACGAGCAAGGGGCAAAGGATAGGCAGGTTCACCAACACAGCAGGAATCACGAGCATGCAAGGGAGGGAGGCATTCAAGCAAAGCATACACGCCAAAGCGCTGCAGTGCTCACAGTCACCAGCAATATGTGGAGGCAAGGAGAGGCGCACTCACCAGCGCAGCAGGCGCCAGAGCGTGCGCGGGAGGGCGGTGGGAGGCGGGGCGGCGAGGAGGGCGAGGCAGCGGTGGAAGTCGCTGTGGCGGAACCAGGGGCGGTCGATGGCGCTGTAGAAGAACTCGCAGCGCGCCCACTGCTGCACTGCCAGACACACCCGCGGTGGCGGGGCGAGAGTACCATCCATCCCATCCACTCGCCCATCCCCATGCCCAGGCACGGGGACACACGCTGCTGTGCCATGTGGCCCATGCTGTGCCTTGTTCCCTCCGCTCTCTCCGCCCTCCCCGCCTTCTCTCCCCACCTGCCACAGCTCCACTCGCCTCTTCCTCCTGCCTGCCCCCCGTGCTGCTAAACGTGGCGCTCTGCCCCACGTTTTTCCTCCTCTTGCTGCTGCTTGGTATTGCTGAGGTGGCGCCATGTGGTGCACAGGCTGATGTGGCATAGGCAGCCACGTGGCGCCCCCCCTCTGCTCCCCTCCCCCTTGCTGCGCGGCCGCATGCTCTCCCCCCCTCTCCTGCGCGCCGTCCATGGGGAGGGGCGGGCGCAGAGGAGCAGAGTGCAGGGAGATACCAGTGTGGGTGGGCGGGGGCCCCATGGGGAGCAAGGGGAGCATGGGGGGCGTGGGGGCTGTGGGGGCTGTGGGGGTTACGGGCGGTGCAGGGGGTATGGAAAGGGGCATTTGGAGCAACAGGGGCCCTGGTGCGGTTGAGAGGTGTGGGGCGGGTGGGAGGGATGCGGAGGGGCGGGGGGAGAGGGGCAGGGCGGATGGGAGGCGGAGGGAGAGAGAAGGCGAGGAGGAGGGGGAGAGAGGATAGCTTAGCAGATTGGTTCTAGAGCCCATGGTAGGAGCGGTTGCTGCTACTGCTGCTGCTGTGGTGGTGGCAGTGTGCTGGGAGGGTGGCAGAAGAGGCAGCAGCTGTGCCGTAACTGGCTGTTGCTGTTGCTGTTGCTGTTGCTGCTGCTGTTGTTGCTGCTGCTGCTGCTGCTGCTGCACAAGCCCCCCTGTGTCTGCTGCACTTGAGTCTTGAGCTATCCCAACATAATCCACCGGACTCACGCCGCTGCCTGCACCCTCCCTGTCGTCTCGCCCCATCAAATTGAGGACCACCCTCTCCTCCACCACTCCCCCCTCCTGCTCCTTCCGCCTCTCCCTCACCCCTCCCTCCTTCCCCTTCCTCTTCTCCCTCGCCCCCCCATCCTTTCCCTTCTTCTTCTCCTTGCCCTGCTCCCCACCAGCCGCACATGGCCCTGCAGCAGCAGGGGCAACCGGGGGAGGCACGGTTGGAGGGGCGGAGGAAGCGAGGGAGTGAGGAGGGAGGGGGCCATGCTCGTCCGCGCCCGGCCCTGCCCCCTCCTTCACCTTCCCCTGCCCCTTCTTCTCGCCCTCTGCCACCTCCTCCGCCTTCCTCCTCGCCTTCACAGCCCCCTTGGCACCCCCTGCTGCCTTTACCCCCCCTCCTCCTCCCCCTCCCTGCTGCCGAGCCGCCTCCCCTCCACCTGCCCTCCTCGCCCCTTCCCCTCCCACCCCCTGCCTTGCACCCCCTGCCCCTTTCCCCACAGCCCCCACGGCCCTGCCACTGCTGCCCTGCGCGCCGCCACCACCAACCACCACAGGCACTGACCCGCCCTTGCCCGCCACTGCACCGCTGCCCGCCCTGGTGGTGCTGCTGCCACTGCCAGGCCTGCTGGTGGTGGCGCTGGCGTGTGCGGCTGCAGCGTGCTGGAAGCGCCGCAGCATGTCGTCTAGCGGATCCGCCTCCGCCCTCGCTGCCCCCCCTGCACCTGCTGCAGGGGCAGCACCCACGGCCATGCCTCCACCTGCAGCACCACCCACTCCACCTGGCATGGCACCTGGCATGTTCGGCAGCACCACATTGAAGGCACTCGGCCGAGGGGATCGCACTGCTGTTGCTGCTGCTCCGGCCGCTACCGCTACTCCTGCTGCCGATGCCGCTGCAGGAACGGCAAGGGCAGGAGCAGCAAAGGGCATGGCGGGCGTGGGAGGGAGGGCAGGGAAGGCGACTGGCACGGGCAGAGGGGGCACCGAGGGAGGCGGCAGCAGAGGGTAGGGGCCGGGCACAGGGAGCGAGGCGGGAGGGCGTGGCCGCCCTGTTGCCTGCTCCGGCTGGCTGCTTTTGTCCTTATTCGCCGCGCCTCCCTCCTTCCTCTCATTGCCCCCTCCTGCCTTGATCTTCTTACTCTTCTTTGCCTTCCTCGGCACAGGCCCTGCCCCTCTGGGCGCCTCCCTGCTGCCCTGCGCCCCTTCTCCCGCCCTCGCCTCACCCCCCTGCTTGTCTGCTGCGCGCTGCTTCCCTGCACCTCCTGCCCCGCCCGCCCCCTCCGCCTCATGCTGCTGGCTCGGCTGCGGGGCAGGTGGCACGTGGCCTGAGGGTATCGGGGTGGAATGGGGGCGATGGGGAAAGGAGAGGGAGGAGGTTTCAAGATCAGCAGCAGCAGCAAAGGCAGAAGCAGGGCAGTGCAAGAACACAAGGGTCCGTTTCATACCTGTGGCGGAAATCCCAGCAGCACCAGAGGCAGCGGCGAAAGGGGCGCCCACAGCAGTGCTGGCAGCAGGAGCAGCAGCAGCGGTATGAGGGGCGGCAGCATGGCTGTTGGCGCGCGCCATAGCTGTCAAAGACAGGTCTGCCAACGTGGCCAGGGCATCCAATCCGGAGCTGCCACCTGGCAAGGGAAGGAAACAAGGAATTCATGTGAATGGTCGTGCATGGTGCATGATGCATGATTCATGGTGCATGATGCATGGTGCATGATGCATGGTGCATGGTGCATGATGCATGGTGCATGATGCATGATGCATGGTGCATGATGCATGATGCATGGTGCATGATGCATGGTGCATGATGCATGCTGCATGATGCATGGTGCATGGTGCATGATGCATGGTGCATGATGCATGATGCATGGTGCATGATGCATGGTGCATGATGCATGGTGCATGGTGCATGGTGCATGATGCATGGTGGAAGCTGGGAGGGGCTGGAGCCTTAAAGAGGCGTCATTTCACTCGTGCTGTGCAGGCAAAGCATCCCGTGTGCTCCCCCCCTCCCCTCCGCTCACATCTCTCACTCACCGTGGAAAAGACTGATTGCATGCTCCCCCCCACCACTACCCATAGCCTCCTGCACCCCCTGCCCCGCTGCTCCTGCTTCTCCCCTCGTAGCCCCTTCTCCCCTCGTAGCCCCTTCTCTCCTCGTAGCCCCTTCTCTCCTCGTAGCCCCTTCTCTCCTCGTAGCCCCTTCTCCCCTCGCGGCCCCTTCTCCCCCTCCATCTCCATCTCCCCCAACTCGGCCCCCTTCTCCTGCATGCTGCCCCGCCTCCCTCTCCCCCCCATCACCCACGCCACCCACCTGCCCTCCCTGCCCACCAGGTTCGGCCCCCACCTCTGCCCCGCCTGCAACTCCCTTCCTCTTTGCCTTCGCCTTGCGCTTGCCCCCCTTCCCTTCCTTCCCGTCCTTCCCGTCCTTCCTCTGCTTCCCCTCCTTCCTCTCTTCACCATCCTTCGCCTCCTTCCCCTCATCACCGCCCTTCTCCTCCCTCCTCTCCTCAATCCCCTTAACCTTCTCCTCCTTCCCTGTTCCTTTCTCCTCTCCACGCCTCTGCACCCCTGCCAACCTGCTACCTGCCTCATCTGCTCTGCTCTCTTTCTCCTCCTCCTCCTCCTTCTCTGCCCTTGCCTTCACCTCCTGTTCCTGCTGCTGCTGCTGCTGCTGCTGCTGTGGGCGCAGTGACACCCGCAAACCAGCAGCCACCTCAGAGCGTCTCTTCTCGTCCTCCTCTGCCGCGCCTCGCCCTCTCGCCCCCACGCCACCCACCACAGCAACCGCCGACCGAGCCTTCTTAGGGGTGTGCGACCCTACGCTCCTTTGCCTGCCCGCCCCTTCCATTCTCCCCACACCCCCCTGCCTCCCCTCGTGCCCTGCCCCTCTCTCCTCCTTCCCTCGCTCTCCTTGTCCGCGCCCCTCTGCTTGCCTCCCTAGTGCCTGCAGTCTCACATCCCCGTCGCCCTCCTTCCCCCCACCCCCCCCCTCCGCCACCATTCCTCCTGCCCTCACCCTCCTCCTCCTCCTCCAGCTGCCTCTTCCTCTGCCCTACTCCGCCGCCTCCCCTCTCCCCTCTTTCTCCCGCTCTCTCCCCTTCCCCACCTCTCCCCCCTTCCCCCTCGCCCTTGCCCCCGCCAGCAGGCGCCCTGCGACTGCGCTTGCCCCGCGACCACAGAGGGGCGGCTGGCAGAAGGGAAGGGGGGAAGAGGGTTGGAAGGAGTGGGGGAGGGTTGCAAGAGAGGGGGGGTGAGAAAGTTGAGAAAGGATACAAGGGAAATCGCACAGCTCCGGGATAGAAAGCATCACGCAGGTACTTACAGACACGTGCCTTAGCAGCACACACACCTGCCGATTGCCTTCCGCCTGCCACTCCTCCTGCTGCTGCTGCTGCTGCTGCTGCTGCCCCCCGCACATCCCTCCCTTTCACGGCGCCATCGCTGCCCCCTCGCCCCGCACTGGACCCCGTGCTTCTCCCCACGCTCCACTGCTGCGCCTCCTGCTCCTCCGCCCCTTGTTCCGCGCTCTCCTCCTCTGCCCCGCGCCTCTCCTCCCTCCTCCCACCCTCACTCCGCTCACCGCCACCCCTCCCACTGCCCGCCACGTCACTCCCCTCCGCTCCCTCCCCTGCCTGTTGTCCCCTTCTCCCCCCCCGGCTGTGGCCCACGCTGTTGGACCTGCGTCTGGTGAGAGGCCGCTGATACTGCACCCTTGCCTCACTCTCACTCTCGCTCCTACTCTCCCTCTCACTCTCGCTCTCATTCGCTCCCACACTCGCACCCTCACTGCCGCTGCCCCTGTCACTCCGAAACCCAACACTTCCCCCCTCCCCCTCCCCCTCCGCCTCACTCCCGCTCTCACTAAGAATCCCGCCCCCCCTGCTGCTACGGTGCACAGCACGCCCCCGCCGTCGCCCCACAGGGGGAGTGACGGAGGCGGCCTGGCTGCCGTGGTCCTGCCCCCCCGCCCCTGCCTGCACTGCCAGCCCCGCTGCCTGCCCCTCGTCCGCTGCCTGCGGGTGCTCTGCTGCCGCCTCGTGCTGGACGCGCAGCCAGGATGGTAGTGAGAGACGGACGGGTGTGGGGGGATTGGGGGCAAAGAGGGGCAAGGAGCAGTGTTGGAAGGTGCAATGGTGGTAGCTCGCGCGAAGGTGAGCAGGTAAAGGGTGGGAGCAGGGGAAGTGCGGTATCTGGGGAGGCAAAAGAGAATTAAACATGCAGGCAGGAAGCGGGCAGGGAAGGGGGCATGCAAGGGTGGGGCAGGAGAGGGGCGTACGAGCATGGAGTAGTGATCTGTCATCATGGCCACGAGCCCCACCGCCGATGCTGCTCCCTCTGGCAACGATAGGTACGCCTGTGGTGACGCGGGCAGCACACACGCAGCAGCACGAGAACGGACTGTGATTTGAGGACAGAGCAGGTTGGGAACTTATACTTGCAGGAATGCAAGACAAACAATGGATAGCAACTGGGGACTTCTCAGAGCGTAACCGTACGCCTGGATGCTCGTCCGCCTGAGGGCAAGCGACAGGTGGGATTGGACTGACCCTGTTCATGTTGAAGAGTGCCTCTGCCATCTCCTCCGTTCGCCCCGGTAACTCCGCCACCACCTGCACGCACCCAGCAAGAGCATTGCACCGGACAAAGCATCAGCATGCACCACGCACGGCACGCAGCAGCCATGGATCACCAAGCATGAGGAACCATCGACAGATTATTATGAACGGTTCTGATTGAGCTTTGCGGCCTGGAGGCTAGATCTGGTGACTCATGGATTCAGGTGCATGGTTGGATCAGGTGGTGTATGCTGTGCGAACGAGGGTGACCGTGATACAAACGAAACCAGCTGCTGAAGTGACGTCACCCATCCACATACACGCCCATCCTTCCTTCCCCGCGACGCCTTCCCCCTGCTCCCCCTTACTTCAGGGAAATTCTTTCTCACCCCCCCTCCTCCCCCACCCCCCCCTCCCCCCCCCCCGCGCCTTCCCCCGCGCCCTCCCTTCCCCCACCTTGCGCCAGTTCTTCCCCTCGGCGCGCAGCAGGCGGTAGAACGCGCGCAGCTCGCCGTCGCTCCACACGGGCCCCAGCCGCTCCACCAGCTTGCGCCGCTGTGGGCGGAAGGGGAAGATGCGGGGAAGGGGGGCACGAAAGGGAGGAACTAGTGACGCATGTGCGAACGGCGACGATGGGCGTGGGGAACAGGCCGGGCGGCAACTCTGTGCGGCCGACCCACTCCAAGTGATCGAGTCGGCTTGCGACAGCTCGCGAGGTAGCGACACCTTTGTGGTAACGCGAAATGGGAAGACGCGAGTAACGACGTGGATCATGCTAGAAAACCCTCGAACCAGACATGGTCGCGACGAATCGAACAATCAAGAGATGGTGAGCGATGACACGAAGAGCTCGAAGGACAAGGTGGGGGATGCGAGCGCTGAACTCGAACGACGCCATGCAGGTGACGCTTGAGGCGATGAAACAGTCTCCTTCATAAAGTACCGGACTATACCGCGGAAAACCGGAACCTAAAGGTTTAATCGTGATCTTGCCTTGTGACGCTGCGCATGGCGAGCGTCAGCGGCGCGCGGCTGCGCGTGCGCTCTCGACTGCGAAGAGGTCTTTCTGTGCGGCGCCATGGCTGACCGCGCACCGCTACCCGCTAAGTCACGATTCAAGGCGCGACATCGCGAGAATAATTATCGATTTGCTAAACGAAAAGTCGGTCTCATACCGAAGGCTGACAGTAAGCGAGGCGCGGAACTAAAAGAGCTAATCAAAATTGGTGTGAAAAGTTGGGCACCAAGTTCAGCCGGGCGAGGCAAGCTCATCCAAGGGAAGTTGGCTGAAGTGAGGCACAAGGGAGGCGGAGGTACTGTGCCGTGCTGCAGGGACAGGCAGTCGTAGCGATGGAACAGAATTGAGGTAAGGGGATAGGGGAGGAAGAAAGTAGAGGGAGGAGCAAGACACGGCAAAAGCAAGGAAGCAAGCAGGCAAGCAACCAACCACCCGTTTTATCCCTCGGGATTGCCTTCCCGCGCCTTTCCTTCGGACCCCCGCCCACAGCAAATTTGAATCAAACCCTCAGCGCGCTCTGCCTGGTACTCGCGAAATCGCGGGAAATCGCCACCTTCGCTTTAGTTACATCACCGAGAAAGATGGAATATTTCGATAGAGTAGCTGATTACGAGACATTATCTCTACAGTTTGCAAAAAAGGCATTGAAACAATCCAATCTTTTTTAATAATTTCTTACAAAATCACAAGCACTGCAGGTGCTATTCTCATGCAAAATACACAAAAACTGATCAAGAAAACCCTTAAGAAGTGATGCGGACAATCATTCTTTGGCAGCTGCCTCTATCTCATTGCGCCATCTCCGATAGTGCACACCGAGCTTGTCGTAAAGTACAGGGTGGTTCCACACATTTGCACCACGTCTCATCCTGTCCTGCTGCCCTACCACCAAACGCAAGTCCTCGTCCAGCACCTGCTCAAGCATTGGCAGACAAATTTAGCATTTGGTCAGTCCCAAGCAAGCATATTTCGTCAAGAGTGGCTGAACACGGAAGACTTCTGACTTTCAGGGACATTTTAAATCAGACAAATATTATGAAAACACGGAGGCCACAGCTCACCTGGTTAGCCAGAGACTTCCACAGTCTGTCGATGAAAGGCACAAACTTGACCCACTGGGCAAAGTCAAGCCCCATGCGGTAGAGCAGCCGTGTCTTGCCGCGTGATGACGGCAGGCAGGCGTGCAGCTGGTACAGATGCTGCGTGCACTCCTGCGCGCTGGCCTCCCCCTCCAGCTGGCCCGGCTTGACGAGCCCGATGGTGGACACCACCATGCAGGGCGGGCGGAACTCCATGGCGATGGGGTACGGATCCCAGTGGCCCTGCAGTGCCTGCGCAGCTGCCGACTTGAAGCGAACCAGGCTGCCACAGGGAAGCACAGACGAGAGGACAAGGGGAAAATGTTAACCTCCAAGGCAGTGAGGAGTCAAGTGCAGGGGGTGCAAGTCACGGGCACACACTGACCTGGGAACGGACCAGCCCTTGGCGAAGGTGGTGGTGTGTGTGAAGGGCGCGTGGGCGAGGTCCAGGAGATTCTCCACCAGCAGCCCGTGCTCCACCGGCAGCTCTATCACTATCTGCAGGATGGCAGCACGAGTGGGGCAAGCAGGCAAATATGTACATGAGCATGGCATCATACCACAGCAATCAGGCAGTGGTGCACACGAGCTGGCACTACCACAACAGCACTGAACGCCATCCACTGCAAGTCTTTCTCTGCTCTGACAGGGCGTGCAGCAGTGTGGCCCTGAGGCTCACCTCGGCGTGCACGGTGTAGGAGGGGGGCGGCATGGTGGAGGGCAGGGTGTCGGTGGGCGTGGCGGTGCCGGGCCACACCCAGATCATGCCCTCGTGCTCCACACACGGCAGCGCTCGCACTCGCACGTTGGTGAGGCGCGTGGATGGCATCTTGGTGCACTGCCCGTCCGGCTTGAACTCCCACCCTGCCAGGCGACCGAGGGAGGTGCATGGCTTAGGTGGCTTAGGTACAGACAGACACCATATGACAAGGCAGGCTACAGCAGAAAGTGGTAACACCCTATTGCCTGGGGTACATGTGAAAGAGCTGAACAGTGGGGATGGATGGATGTGCGAGGAAGCCATACCGTGGTAGGGGCAGACAGCGTGGCCTTCCACCACAGTGCCGATGGAGAGAGGGCATGCCCTGTGCGCACACTCGTCCCGGATGCACCCTGGCTTGCCGTCTGGGCCCCTGAACACCACCCACGGCTCCTCGAAGCAGTCAAACGGAATCTGTTGGAATGGCAGCGGGTGAGGAGGATCAGACCAACGGATGGCGAGTGAGTGACATGTAGCAAGAGGCGGAGGCTAAAGATCAGCATGCTGGGAACACTATAGCTAACCTGGTCGACCATTGTGAAGGAACCCCCACAGCCTATAGCATCTACCCGCACACAGCCACCTAACATGGACCCCTGCATGAGCGCCCGCCACCCACCAGCGTGGTGGCGTCGACGTCTTTGGAGAAGGCGACGGGGAACCAGAAGTTCTTGAGCGTGGACGCGTACTTGGGCAGCGGCCCCGACGTGTCCAGCTTCGTGCGCCGCGGGGCCTTCCCCTTCTGCTTCCCCTTCGCCACGCGCCCCTGCGACGCCGCCGTCTCAGCGGCGCTCTGCAGCTCCGCGGGCTCCGCGGCCAGAATCGCGTCCGCCTTCTCCACTACCGCCAGGCTAGCACTCGGCGCGCCACCCTCCGCCGCATCCCCCTGGCTGCTGCTGGGTTCCCTGGGAAGAGGGTCGACGACGCGCGTGGTCTGCACGAGCGACTCCAGCTCCGCCATCCGGTCCAGCGTCTGCCGCACACGGGTCTCCGATGCGCGCACCTGCGCACACAGGCCCGAGGCAGACCGGCGTGGACGAGGATGACAGGGGGTTGCGGTTGAGTGTACGGGTGGCAGAGCGGCGGGTTGAGGAACTGAAATGGCTAGAACGAGAACGGGGAGTGAGAGTAGCGGCATGGGTACGCTGAGGCATGGGGAAAGGCGTGATGCTGGGATGGGTAAGCAGGGCGCACCTGGGCGCGCGCAGCGGCGAGCTCTTGTCGCATATGTTGCAGCTGCTCCTCGAGAGACACGAGGGACTCGGTGTCTGACGTCGACTCCAACGATGCCACGAACACGCCCGCCGCTACCCGCCGAGCCTGCACGCGCACACCATGCCGTTAGCGCTACGAACACCCTCCGTAACGACTACAACTCTAATGGCGCAAAGAAATGGTGTTAAAAAGGGATTGGCGCAATAGTGCTGTCTCGCACCTCGTCCTGCTCGTCGCTCTGATCGCCACGTGGCACTCCAAACAGCTCGCCCGCGCTCTGCAATGCGTCTGCCACCGCGGGTGCTGGCCAGTGCGCCACCTACGGTAATGGGAGCAGCAACGGAATGCGCGGCGATTAGGAGCGGAATTATAGGAACAGGCAGCCTGGCGCAAAATGACTAGATCTGGATTAGGCAGCGACGGAATGACGAATCTGGATTACAGGGCGTGGCACGAGCAATTGCAAGGCAGGGCGGGTCGGAGATACCTGTGCTGCTGCTTTGCCCCCCGCGGCGCCAGATTGAGACGAAATTAGACCAAACCGAAGATCGAAACCCGCCGCCTGGTCTGACCCATCCAACGACCCCTGAAATCGAAAACACGCGGAAAGGGACAAGTCTGTTGTGAGAAAACTGCGATGAGGCGAAGAGGGGTTAAAATAGGGAGTTAAAAGGTTTACGAAGAACAGGGACGTACGTTAAGGGCAGCGCATAGATCTGGTAATAGCCCGGCAGCCGGGACGGTGGCCTCGAGCCAGATATGCGATCCACGTGCCTGCAGAGGCGGGGACGGTGAGAGAGGAGAGCAGTTGTGAGACAGAAAAACGGTCAGGAACAGACGAAAGCGGCCATTGAGGAGCCTCAGAACCTTTTACATGTGACATGTCACCGCAAGACTCGCGGCAAGAATAAAGGCACGTGTGGTTCACCTGGATCTGGAGCGGCTCTTGGACGTCGGCGGGGTCAAGGCGAAGCACAGACGCTCGCACGGCCTGTGAGGGGAGTAAGCCGAGTTGATGCGGGCAAAAAAAGGGGCAAAGATATGGTGTTTCACATGTTCCGTATCATTTGTACGGACAGGGGCTGAAGGAAAGCGGAAATGATGAACACCATTAATGAACACGGTTAAAAGATGACCTTAACCCACCCGTAGGAGCTGGCAGAAATCGTGATACTCCCTGGCGTTCATCGCCAGACTCCATCCCTCTCCACCGACCTGGAATACGACCAGTCGGAGAAAGGAGAAAGGGGATAACTACTCGCACGGTTAACGACGACTAAGATTCTTAAGGTTCCAGATTAACAAAAGCGAGCAGCAATGCTTGAATACTATTCTGAAGATTCCTATTGGAGTCCGCACCGAAGCAGCAAAACTGTCGGTTGAGTTGGGTGATGCCTCATAAGCCACACGCCACCCCTCCCCTTGAACCAGCCGGAACTCTGCCTCCGGAGCAACCTCTTGCGTCGAGCAGCCTGAAAGAAGGATGCGACGAAAAGCGATTTAGCCGGTGATGCCGGATTGAGGCGACGGCGAGATCGAGAAGGGACACAAAGTCCAAGGCTTCACCTGTCAAATCGCACGTGAGCCATGCACCGTCTGGGTGCGTAAGCTTGGACCCGCTGTCGAGAGATAGGACGAGCTTATTTTCTTGGCGAATGGAAGCCTTGTCTCCTGCATTTTGACTGCTGAGGCTCATCCGAACTACTCTAGACGAAGAAACATCCTGTTCTTTGGCAAATCGTTTGTCACTACGCAAGGTGCGACCTCCTAGACCAGAATGGCTCGACGACAGACAGGCCGTTCGGGACGCGGTGGAACGCTTCGATGAATGGGTGATACCGCCATGGACAGGCTGCTTCGTGAAGCCTACTCGCTGAACCGTGGAAGCCGCTAGAGAATTCATGGCTACACGCGAGTATGGCCTCCTCTACGTACAGGAGCAGTTGCCCTTCCTGAATTACATCAACCAGGAAAGGGATCCGAGCTAGGAAAATTATCTGAACAAATAGGTCTCGGAATGCGACGACATGTTCAGTGAATGATGAGGGGAGGGAATAGGCTGGTCCCGTCAAGGTGTGTGGTGTGGATGGAATGTTCGGCTTGCAGCCTGCAGGAGGGGAGCACAGCACACACGGGGGAGGGGGGATGTTGGTGGTGGTGGTGGCGCTGTTGCTGTACTTTGTCGCAAAGGGAGAGGATAACCAATCAGAGGCCTGCTGCGAGGGGAACCATGCGAAAGTTGTTTGAGAAGTTACGATTTCTCGTGGACAGCAACGGATTCGTTGCTAGGATCTTTCGCCATCCTCGGGTGCGTGAATTCATCGGGGCGCCCAAGAATGTACAGTTGTTGACACGCGATCCATTTTACGTGACATGATTGGATAGATGATTCTATCAGGATCCCGAGATGACCTCTCAAAGGAGTGAGCTCAGCACCGCGGATTGCTGGCTTTATTGCAACATGGATGGGGCGAAGGGAATGCGTTGACGACACATGCCTGCATACAAGCTGAGGAAGCCTTGCATCCAAAAGCAGTTGCTACACATCATAATAAAATGTATAACCTGGATTTACTGTAAAACTCTTTTATGTACAATCATGCCCCCAGATTGGTTTTGGGAGTATATGAAGAAAAAACACATATCAACGACGCAAATACAGCATGTAAATCATATGTATTTGATATTTCGTTAGAGACGTCATTGGCCACCTCGAACATTCAATATGCTGGTTAGTCATATGGTCGTTTACAACACAGGTGGCCTGACAGTGAAGCTGGGTTATACTTCAGTTACATCACATTGGCCATTGTCAAACTTTGATACTAAACCAGATCACCTTCTAGCAAGACAATGTCCCCATCAAAACTCGTTCCAACCCAAAGCCCTGCTGATCTAGGGACCACCACGATGGCTCCATCTGCCTCTGTCCAAACAACTTTTACCAAGGCTGCCTATGTGGGGGATGTCTCCGCACTCGCCCTTTTGCCTTGGCCCTCCCTTACCTCCCTCCGCTATAAATCGCGCCGCACACAGCCTGGCGCCGCTGCCTCTCACGAAGAGTCGTGTGCACAGCGCGGGGGAGAGGAGAAGGAGGAGGCGGGCCAAGCAGCGGCGCACGAGGAGCGGGCTGACCGGCACAGCGAGCAATGCGCGGACGCCCATAAACGCGCGGGCGCCCATAAATGCGCGGGCGCCGATAAATGCGCGGACGTCCATGCGTTCGACCACCATGCGTCCGCTCTTGTGCTCGCAGGTGCACCTAGCTGCACGCGCTCACAAGCCTCAAACACGCGCAAACACTCGTCTCCGCGCACCCGCCAACCACTTCCCCTGTTCGCCACTGCGCCCGCCGCTTGCCCATTCCCGCCTCTCCTTCCGCCCTCCCTCGCCCGCGCGCCCTCCGCCTCCGCCTCCCCCGCGCCCCCTCTGCTCATCTACCCTGCATGCCCTCCCCTCACCCGCCACGCCTGTCATCCCTCCGCGCCTCCTCATCCCATCGCCCTCCATCTGCACGCTCCCAGTTCGCTGCTCTCCCCCGTCCATTTTCCTCCTTCAAACCCTCCCGCTCCCTCTCTGCCCCCTCTTGCCCCTTCACCACTCCCGTTCCCCCCCGCCCCCGCCAGCCATGGGTCCCACGCTGCGCTGCTACCACCTGCCGTCGGGGCGGCTGCTGGCAGCCGTTGATGTGTTTGACGGCGTGCGCATCCACGGGATCGTGCCACGTGGCAGCAGAGGAGTGGGCGGCGCTGTATGGACCCGCGAGGGTGAGGGTGAGGGCGAGGGCGAGGGGAGGGGGGAAGCAGCAGCAACGGTGGTGGTGGTGCATGGGGAGAGGCGGGTGAAACTGGTGGTGCTGACGGTGCAGCAAGCAGCACAGGTGGCGGCGACAGTGACAGTGCAGCAGCAGCAGCAGGGCGTGGGGGAGCGGAGAGAGACAGCGGAGCAGGGGGGTGTGGGGCAGGGGGTGGGTGGGGGGGTGAAGCAGGGAGGCGAGGGGGGGCAGGGTGGGGGAGTGCGGATGGCGGTGGGTGCATGTGTGGTGTGCAGGGACCACTGGGTGTGTGATGCCGCCCTGCTGCCCTGCCCTGCTCATGCCCATGCCACACAGGTGACAGTCCACCCGGACCCATATGACTCCTCCTGGGGCATTGCATCTTCCCACCTCCCATGCTGCTTGCCATCGTTCCTCATTCCTCTGCCTCGTTCAAGCCCCTGCACTCCTTCTCCTCCCTCCCTTCTCTCTCTAGCTCACCCCTCTCTCGTCCCCCTCCTCTTGCTCCTCCCCCCGCCCCCAACCACCCTCCCTCCTTCCCCTCCCGCACCTCCCACCCCGCCACCCCTCCCCCTTCCCATCACCAGGCGGGCGTGCTGGCGGTGGGGCTGAGTGACAACAGCGTCGAGCTGTGGGCCACAGCAGCCGTTGGATCGGACAGGACGTGCGGCCAGGATGGCACCGCGGACTTCTCTCTGAGGCTGCTGCGCTCTGTGTCTTGCTCAGGCACGCACTGCTCCCCTCCCCCTGGCCCCATGCTGTGCTGTGCCCGCTTACACCCTGCTGCCATGCACCACCATTTGCAAGGGAAGCAACGTTGCACTGCACCCTGGAGCCATCTCTCATTATTCATGCATGCATGCATGCATGCATGCGCCATGCCACATGTAACGGCACCTGTGTGCTCATCGAATCTGCATGCACACTGACAGTGCTGTGCTCTCTCTTGCTCTGTTGCTCTGTCTGTGTCCACATGGTTACATGCCCCTGTGTGTGCCCCAACCCCCCCTCCTCTCCGCTAATGCCCATCCTCCGCGCGCACGCGCGCGCTCGTGTGTGTGTGTGTGTGTGTGTCTGCGTGTCCCTGCGCGTGCGTCAGACCGCAGTCTGCTGTACGCCATGCGCCTGCACTGGCATGCGCCCTCCTCATGCCTGCATGTGGCGGCCGGCACCATCTTCAACCAGGTGTTATCACAGTTGCACGCCTCTGCACCGCACTGTCACTTCTTGAGCCTCCCTGCACTCTGCTCTCCTCTCTGCGCCCTGCGCAGTGCGCACCCCTGCATCGCCCTGCGCAGTGCGCACCCCTGCATCTCCCTTACCGTCTGCCCTCACCTCTGCGCACCTCTGCGCACCCCTGCGCACCCCTGCATCTCCCTTACCGTCTGCCCTCACCTCACCTCACTGCTCACCCCATCTGCCTGCAGCTGCTTCTCTGGTCTGTGCCTCTCCACGCCTCTGCCTGCTGCGCCACTCTGGGCGGCAGCACTGAGGAGCCATGCCACGTGGCGCCCTCCCATAGGCTGGGAGGTCACGAGGGATCGATATACCGAGTGGTGTGGAAGGAGGAGAGTGACCAAGGGATCTGGGGGGAAAGGGGAGGGGGAGGGGAAGAGGGAGAGGGAGAGGGAAGGAACGGCGGAGGAGGAGAGGATGGGGAGGATTCAAGAAGAGAAGCCCCTGAGAGCTTCACACTGATTTCAGTTTCGGACGACCGTAGGCAAGCAGGGGTGTGTTCACGCAGGGGTCACAAAACTGTATCTCCCTTCCTGTCACTCTGACTCAGTCCCTAAACCATATCAGCTTGGTGGCTCTGCGTGCTTCTCCTCCTGCTTGCCCCAATGCAGTGCACGCGTATGGCGTGTGACCATGCCTGCCAGGGCAGCACAGGCACTGCAGGCGGGCAGCTCTGAGGAGCAGTTGTCCCCTGGCAGAGGCGGTACACGCACGGTGGAATGTGCTGAGGCGCACAGGGTGCTGTTTGGCCACGGGGCTCGCCTCTGGGACGCCCATCTCCACTCCCAGCCCCAGGTGCTTACATGCCCCCTCCTCCCCCCTCCTCCCCCCCCTCCGCCGCCCTGTCCTCTTTTTCTCCTGTCCGTTTCCATCACCCCAACCCCTCCACAGTTCATCTTGACAAGTGCTTCCTTTCCACTCTGCATGCGCCCTAGCATGGCGTCGCCTTTCCACTATTCCACTTTTCCACCATGCTCCCATGCCACCCAACCCCCTCCCCTCCCCTCTCCCCCCACCCTGCCTCTACGCCCCCACGTCCACATCCCCCTCTTCCCCCTCCACGGTGGCAGGTGGCAGTGACGGTGAGTGAGGACTGCACGGCGCGTGTGTGGAGCATCGAAGATGGCCGCCTGCTCGCACTCATCCCCGCGCACCAGTGAGCGCTCATCCAATGTATCAGCCGTTTCAAGAGTTAACACCCACTCACGTACTTTCCTATCTTGCAGATACCGCAATCACTTCATTTCCTTCTTCTTTGCCGCTGTCTCATGCTTCCTCACCCCGTTTTTCCCATCTGCGCCCTTCTCCCTCCCTCCCATGCTGCCCCTCAACCGTCTATCCCTGCATGCACGAGCAGGGGGCGGGGCATATGGCGGTGTGTGGTGCACCCCCCCACGCGCACGCTCATCACAGGGGGGGCGGATGCCGCCATCAACCTCCACGCCCTCCCCGCCCTGCCCTCCCCCCTGCCCGCCCCACGCGCCCCCCCTTCCACCGTGCCCCCTGCCTTGTCGTGGCACCTCCCTCTGGACGCGCTGCTGCTGCGCGTCACGCCCACCGCCGCCCTCACCGGCCACAGCATCGCTCTCGCCTCTGCTGCTGCTGCCACTGGCGCTGGGACAGAGGGGGAGACAGGGGTGGAGGCGGACGCCGGTCGCAAGGATAGGTGGGTCAGCCTGCCATGCCCGTGCTACTCGCTGCACCATCACATGCCTGTTCCATGCCCGTGCTACTCGCTGCACCATCACATGCCTGTTCCATGCCCGTGCTACTCGCTGCACCATCACATGCCTGTTCCATGCCCGTGCTACTCGCTGCACCACCACATGCCTGTTCCATGCCCGTGCTACTCGCTGCACCATCACATGCCTGTTCCATGCCCGTGCTACTCGCTGCACCATCACATGCCTGTTCCATGCCCGCCCGTCAGCATGCCTTGTCCCCCCTCATCAACACACCCCCCCACCCCATGGTTGCTCCCTCCTTCCCACCACCGCATCGAACCCCCCCCCGGTCTGCCCAGCAGCAAGAGCGAGTTCATCCGCTGCATGGCGCTGGCCTCGCCCCGCCTGCTGCTCCTTGCCACCAACCTGGGCGCGCTGCTCCTCCTCCGCCTCCCCGCCTCCCCCTCCTCCCCCTGCCCCGCCCCCGTTGTCCTCCTGCCCGCCGCCCCACCGTCTCCGTCCCATGCTTCCCGTGGGCCAATTGTGTGCCTCCACGTGGAAAGGGAGGAGGGGAGTGCAGAGGAGGAAGGGGAAGAGGGAGATGTTCAGGAGGGAGGGGAGGAGGGCGGGGAGGTGGGGGAGGGGCAGGGGAGAAGGGGATCAGGGCGAGCAGGGCGTGGGCGGGAGAGGGAGGGGCGGTGGCGGGTGGTGTGTGGGTTCGGCATGGGGCAGGCTGTGGCGCTCTCGCTCTCTCTCTGGGCCCTGCCCCGCCACCCCATGCATGCACACAGGGAAGGGGATGGGGAGGGTGGAGGCCGTGGGGGGAAACAAGGGGCGGAAGGTGCAGCTGAGGAAGGGGGGCAAGGGGGAGTGGCAGGGGAGGGAGGGCGGGCAAGTGAGTTGGGGGAAGTAGAGGTCCATTGGTGGAGTCAGTGGCAGGCACACCAGGCAAGACGGCTTCTTGGAACCTTCTGGTGCCGCAGCCTGAGTGACAGGTGCGTGTGAGGGAACATTGGAGACATGGTGCATGGTGCGCTCTCCTCACCATCCCTCTCACCATTCGTCCTCCTCACCGTTCTTCCTCCTCACCGCATTGCCCAGTGCCCACCTCCCCACCATCCATCAGGCATGTCTTCACCACGGACCCAGCAGGCAGCGTTGTTTGGTGGCACATGGACGACACTGCACCTCCACCTGCCTCCTCCACTTGCCCTCTCTCACTTGACACTGTTCAATCGTCCGGGCGGCAGCTGCCGGCCACAGCAGTGGCGAGTATCCAATCACCGGGCGGCGCGCGTGTGGTGTGCGTGGATGCATGCCCTCACAGCAAGGTACGTGCCCTCACAGCAAGGTACATGCCCTCACAGCAAGGTACGTGCCCTCACAGCAAGGTACATGCCCTCACAGCAAGGTACATGCCCTCACAGCAAGGTACGTGCCCTCACAGCAAGGTACGTGCCCTCACAGCAAGGTACGTGCCCTCACAGCAAGGTACGTGCCCTCACAGCAAGGTACGTGCCCTCACAGCAAGGTACGTGCCCTCACAGCAAGGTACGTGCCCTCACAGCAAGGTACGTGCCCTCACAGCAAGGTACGTGCCCTCACAGCAAGGTACGTGCCCTCACAGCAAGGTACGTGCCCTCACAGCAAGGTACGTGCCCTCACAGCAAGGTACGTGCCCTCACAGCAAGGTACGTGCCCTCACAGCAAGGTACGTGCCCTCACAGCAAGGTACGTGCCCTCACAGCAAGGTACGTGCCCTCACAGCAAGGTACGTGCCCTCACAGCAAGGTACGTGCCCTCACAGCAAGGTACGTGCCCTCACAGCAAGGTACGTGCCCTTATACCCACAAGCAAGGTACGTGCCCTCACAGCAAGGTACGTGCCCTCACAGCAAGGTACGTGCCCTCACAGCAAGGTACGTGCCCTCACAGCAAGGTACGTGCCCTCACAGCAAGGTACGTGCCCTCACAGCAAGGTACGTGCCCTCACAGCAAGGTACGTGCCCTCACAGCAAGGTACGTGCCCTCACAGCAAGGTACGTGCCCTCACAGCAAGGTACGTGCCCTCACAGCAAGGTACGTGCCCTCACAGCAAGGTACGTGCCCTCACAGCAAGGTACGTGCCCTCACAGCAAGGTACGTGCCCTCACAGCAAGGTACGTGCCCTCACAGCAAGGTACGTGCCCTCACAGCAAGGTACGTGCCCTCACAGCAAGGTACGTGCCCTCACAGCAAGGTACGTGCCCTCACAGCAAGGTACGTGCCCTCACAGCAAGGTACGTGCCCTCACAGCAAGGTACGTGCCCTCACAGCAAGGTACGTGCCCTCACAGCAAGGTACGTGCCCTCACAGCAAGGTACGTGCCCTCACAGCAAGGTACGTGCCCTCACAGCAAGGTACGTGCCCTCACAGCAAGGTACGTGCCCTCACAGCAAGGTACGTGCCCTCACAGCAAGGTACGTGCCCTCACAACAAGGTACGTGCCCTCACAGCAAGGTACGTGCCCTCACAGCAAGGTACGTGCCCTCACAGCAAGGTACGTGCCCTCACAGCAAGGTACGTGCCCTCACAGCAAGGTACGTGCCCTCACAGCAAGGTACGTGCCCTCACAGCAAGGTACGTGCCCTCACAGCAAGGTACGTGCCCTCACAGCAAGGTACGTGCCCTCACAGCAAGGTACGTGCCCTCACAGCAAGGTACGTGCCCTCACAGCAAGGTACGTGCCCTCACAGCAAGGTACGTGCCCTCACAGCAAGGTACGTGCCCTCACAGCAAGGTACGTGCCCTCACAGCAAGGTACGTGCCCTCACAGCAAGGTACGTGCCCTCACAGCAAGGTACGTGCCCTCACAGCAAGGTACGTGCCCTCACAGCAAGGTACGTGCCCTCACAGCAAGGTACGTGCCCTCACAGCAAGGTACGTGCCCTCACAGCAAGGTACGTGCCCTCACAGCAAGGTACGTGCCCTCACAGCAAGGTACGTGCCCTCACAGCAAGGTACGTGCCCTCACAGCAAGGTACGTGCCCTCACAGCAAGGTACGTGCCCTCACAGCAAGGTACGTGCCCTCACAGCAAGGTACGTGCCCTCACAGCAAGGTACGTGCCCTCACAGCAAGGTACGTGCCCTCACAGCAAGGTACGTGCCCTCACAGCAAGGTACGTGCCCTCACAGCAAGGTACGTGCCCTCACAGCAAGGTACGTGCCCTCACAGCAAGGTACGTGCCCTCACAGCAAGGTACGTGCCCTCACAACAAGGTACGTGCCCTCACAGCAAGGTACGTGCCCTCACAGCAAGGTACGTGCCCTCACAGCAAGGTACGTGCCCTCACAGCAAGGTACGTGCCCTCACAGCAAGGTACGTGCCCTCACAACAAGGTACGTGCCCTCACAGCAAGGTACGTGCCCTCACAGCAAGGTACGTGCCCTCACAGCAAGGTACGTGCCCTCACAACAAGGTACGTGCCCTCACAGCAAGGTACGTGCCCTCACAGCAAGGTACGTGCCCTCACAGCAAGGTACGTGCCCTCACAGCAAGGTACGTGCCCTCACAGCAAGGTACGTGCCCTCACAGCAAGGTACGTGCCCTCACAGCAAGGTACGTGCCCTCACAGCAAGGTACGTGCCCTCACAGCAAGGTACGTGCCCTCACAGCAAGGTACGTGCCCTCACAGCAAGGTACGTGCCCTCACAGCAAGGTACGTGCCCTCACAGCAAGGTACGTGCCCTCACAACAAGGTACGTGCCCTCACAGCAAGGTACGTGCCCTCACAGCAAGGTACGTGCCCTCACAGCAAGGTACGTGCCCTCACAGCAAGGTACGTGCCCTCACAGCAAGGTACGTGCCCTCACAGCAAGGTACGTGCCCTCACAGCAAGGTACGTGCCCTCACAGCAAGGTACGTGCCCTCACAGCAAGGTACGTGCCCTCACAGCAAGGTACGTGCCCTCACAGCAAGGTACGTGCCCTCACAGCAAGGTACGTGCCCTCACAACAAGGTACGTGCCCTCACAGCAAGGTACGTGCCCTCACAGCAAGGTACGTGCCCTCACAGCAAGGTACGTGCCCTCACAGCAAGGTACGTGCCCTCACAGCAAGGTACGTGCCCTCACAACAAGGTACGTGCCCTCACAGCAAGGTACGTGCCCTCACAGCAAGGTACGTGCCCTCACAGCAAGGTACGTGCCCTCACAGCAAGGTACGTGCCCTCACAGCAAGGTACGTGCCCTCACAACAAGGTACGTGCCCTCACAGCAAGGTACGAGCCCTCACAGCAAGGTACGTGCCCTCACAGCAAGGTACGTGCCCTCACAGCAAGGTACGTGCCCTCCTCTCCTCCCATCTGTCACAGAACCCCCCAACTCTCGCTTTCAATTCCTCTGCTTCTCTCCCACCCACGCCGCCCCTCCCATCACCCCCTTCTTCGCCCTGTCCCACCCCTTTTCGGTCCCCCGTCCTCCCCCCCCTTCATGACGTCCCATGTGCCGCCCGCCTGGCAGCTGCTGGCGCTGGGCGACCAGAGGGGGCACCTCTACCTCTACCGCTTCTCCCTCGCCGCCCCTGCTGCCAGCCGCCCAGTGGCGGACTGCCACGTGGCAGCAGTGCTCAAGGGGGCGCACGGCATATCGGCAGTGGCGAGTGTTGCAATAGAGGGCGCAGCAGGCATGGGCGCAGCTGCAGCGTCGCTTGGCTTCGCTGCCCTCATCCACACGGTGTGTGCTGTGGCTGCTGCAGGACGGTGTGTGCCGTGCCTGCACTGCAGTGCAGTGCGGTGCAATGCATTGACCATTTGGTGTGTATGTACGTGATCCTTGCCTGTTGCTTATGGTAATCGCATCTGTGGGTCCCATTTCTGATTTCATTTGCATGCCAACTTCCTCCCCTCTGCTTCCCTGCCTTTGTAGCACCCCCATCGCCTCATGCACCACCATTCCCACTCTCCTCCCCCCATCCACCCGACTCCCCTTATCCCCACGGCCACCAGACCGGCAGGGACGGCTGCATATGCACCTTCGCCCTGCGCGCTCCACCGCCACCCCCACCGCTTGCCCCTGCACATGGCCCACCTTGCAACTCTACCAGTACGGCAGCTACGAGTGGGGCTGTGGTGGGGCACACGGGCATGGCATGTGCACCTGGCAGTGAGGGGGGCGACACGGGCATGCAGGAGAGAGGGGGCCAGCAGGGCGAGGTGGTGTGCGTGGGGGTGCAGCGAGCAGGGGAGGTGGGAATGGTGGAGCGCGTGGTGCGGGTGAGGGGTGGGGGAGGAGGGGGGAGGGCAGGCAGGGTGGCGGTGGGGTTTGCAGCAGCGGACTTTGTGGTGTGGAGTGTGGACGAGCACGCAGAGGTGGGTCGGGCTCTTTTGACCCCACGGCCGGATCTGCGAACGCTTCCCAACTAACCCTACTCCAAACCAAACCTTTCTTTTCGTTCTCTTCCAACCCATCTTGGATTTCCCACCCTACAGCCCTCCCTCCCACCCACTTCTGTATCTCACCCTATGGCACTCCCACCCAACCCGCGGTCAGGTGGCGCGCATAGCGTGTGGGGGATGGCGCCGCCCGCACGCCTTCCTCATCGATGCGCTCTGCATGGGGTCCTTCGCCTTCGCCTTCCTCAAGGTGCTGCGATGCCATGCCATGCCATGCCATGCCATGCCATGCCTGGACCCCACCCATGCTGCATCCCATCATGCCTCATGCATCATTCCCCATCCTCCCATGCCTCATGCCAATGCTCCCATGCCCCATCCGCCCATGCCCTAAACCCCATGCCCCATGCAGCCATGTGCACATCCACCGCACCACTGCAGCCGCCACACACTCCACCCCGTGCCCCATGCCCCCATGCCCCATGACCCATACCCCTATGCCCCACACCCACCAGGGCAACCATGTGCACATCCATCGCACCACTGCAGCCACCACACACGCCGCCCTGCCCTCCCCGCACGCGCCTCCACCCACGCCCCCCTCTTCCCTGCATCCCACCTTCCACGGCCGTGAGCTGCACTCTCTCGCCCTCCTGCCTCTGCCCCATCGCCCCTCGCCCTGCACCCACACCCCCTCCTCCCACTCTCCCCGCTGCTCCTCGCTGCTGCTCTCTGCTTCTGAAGACGGCTGCCTGCGCGCCTCCCTGTGAGTGCGGGGGGCCAAGGGGAACGCAGCGTAGGGGAGCCACATGGGTGGGGCCAGTGGGAACGCGGGTGCTTGTGGGGTGCGATTGCATGGCAGCTCTCTTGAATTGAAATGCGCAACTTTTCTCTCTTCCATGTCACTCCCATCCCATCCACATGCGACCCGCCCCTTTGGCTGCCCACGTCATGCTGTGACCCCTTGCTGCACTGCCCTTTCCTGCATCCACCTCCCTGGACTCTTCACCCCACCTCATTGCCGCCCCTGTGCTTGCCGCTGTAGGTACGACCCCTCAGGGGAGGGGAGCGGAGGGGTGCTGGAGGGCAGTGCATGGGTGGGCGAGCACGTGGGGGGCAGCGCCATCAGAGCCATTGCCACGTGCGCTGCTGAGGGCAGCAGCACTGCCAGCCCCACAGAGCAGTGCGGCAGCAGCAGCGGTGGTGGTCTCGGTGGTGGGGCTGGTAGTGGGGTTGGAGTCCCCTCGTCGTGGCTGGTGTTCACGGCTGGAGCGCGCGAGGTGCTCATGTGCTGGCTGCTGCTCTGCCCGGGCCCCATTCCCCCGCCTGCTGCCCCGTGCCTTGCTCTTTCCCCAACATCCCCACATGCCGGGCAGCAGGGAGGGCAGCAAGAGGTGCAGACAGAGGGGGAGCAGCAGAGGGCTGGGAGGGAGGAGGTGGGAGGCAGAGGGGAGGGATGGGAGGATGTGTTTTTGAAAGGAGTGCAAGGGGGGGGTAGAGCAGAGGCGAGTGGGGAGGATGGAGGAACGGATGGGCGGCAGGTTCTGTCGTTTTGGTTGAGCACTCACCGGCCAGATAAAAGGCGAGTGGTGCCGTGCGGTTCCAGTGGTAATGGCAGCAGCAGCAGCATGGATGACGATGTGCGGTACCTGAGCGTTACCGCATTCTCATTCGGCAGCTTCTCCCAGCGGTGGGTCCTCTTAAGCCCTTGCATGCACACAGCCAGGTGGCTGCATGCCATGCTGCTTTGCCTTGCTCTCTGTCAATCCAAACACGCTCCCTCTGTCAATCCCCTCCTCACTCTCCCTCCCTTCTCCCAGTGGTGGGTCCTCTCAAGCTCTTGCATGCACGCAGACGGGACTCACACCATGCTGCTTTGCTGCTTTGCCTGCCAGTCACGCACCCCATGCTGCCAGGCCAGGCACTGCACGGCCTCTTGGGCCATCGATACAGGCAGGCACATTCCCTCCCCTCTCCCCTCGCGCCCGTTCTTCCGTGGGCCACCCTTGCCCGCCAACCACCCACCCATGCAGCTCGCTCGTGGCGGTGGTGGCAGCGGCCACATCAGCCGCGCAGCTGCACCTGCTGGCCTTCCACGCGCCCTCCCTCTCCTGGCACCGCCTCGCCTCCCTCCACCACCACTCCTGCCCCGTCCTCTCCCTCCACCACCTCCTCCTCCCCCCAATCCCGGAACCCTCTGCCACCTCCCCCTCGCCTGCTGCCCCCACCGCTGCCCCCTCGTCCTCGCTGCGCGCTCTGCCGCGCTGCCTGATCACCAGCGGTGCCACGGACGGCGCTGTTGTGCTCTGGGATGTCACCGCCCCTGTCACCCACTTCCTGCACGCCACGTGGCATGCTGCCTCGCATCCCCCCCCACTCTTCCCCTCATCATTATCAATAGCACCAGCATCAGCGTCATCTGTGGCAGCAGGGGGGGGCAGCTCAGGGGCAGTGCGGCCGGTGAGTGGGCGGGGCAGTGAGGGGGGGCAGCGCAGGAGGAATGCACGCTGGCACTTGCAGGGTGGGGGGAAGGGGCACAGGCAGGGCGGAGGGCAGAAGCAAGGGCAGGGGCAAGGGCAGGGGGAAGAGAGGTCTGGTGGCAGCGAGGTTGGGGAGCAAAAATGGCTGCAGGAGGAGCGGCAGATGGGTGTGCGAAAGGCGGGAGGGGAGGAGGCAGAGCGAGAAGGCGAGGGACGGAGCAATGTTGATTCTGAACAGAAGGCTGTTGGGACAGTGGGGGGCCGGGGAGATCAGGGAGGGGCAGGTGATGGGGAAGAGAGAGGCGAGGGGAAGGAGAGAGGCGGGCGGGAGGAAGGTTCAGAAGGCAAGGGAGGTGAGGAGGGGCAGCGAGAGGCGCAGGGGTGGGCGGGTGTGGAGGTGGGTCCGCTGTGCGTGGTGAGGGGCGCCCACCAGTCTGGCGTCAACTGCATTGCCGCTGCTGCCACCGCCACGGCAGGGTGGAGCCACTGGCCGTGGCAAGAAACGCGAGCGGATGGGGGGGATGGGGGGAATGGGGGGGGTGGGGTCGATGGGGTGGAAGACGGCGGGGTGAGGGGCGTGGGGGCGGCACATGTGGTGGTGGTGAGTGGCGGGGACGACGAGGCGGTGCATGCTGTGGTGCTGCTCCTGGACGGCACGGGCGCTGAGCACAGCGCGCACGCAGGACGTTCCGAGGGGCTGGGCGCAGAGGAGAGTGGGGAGGGGGGAAGAGAGGGGGGACGAAGGGGAGTGGTGGCGCGAGTGGTGGCACGGACATCTCAACCCAATGCTCACTCCGCTGCTGTCAAAGGTAACCCTATTCGAGCCCTGCACGCCTTGATCATTCCTACCACGTTGCTGCTGTGAGTGAACCATGTGGCATCCTCATTCCCAGTGAGCAGCTTCATCATCACGAACCCTTCCTCGTTACCCCATTCCCTCTCCCTGCTCCATCTTATCCCATACCATACCATGCCATGCCATGCAATGCGACGCCATGCCATGCCATGCCATGCCACGCCCACCCCCCGGCAGGCATCTGGACGGATGGGCAGGTGGTGCTGTCAGTGGGGCTGGACCAGCGCCTGCGCTGCTGGTCCCTCTCCTCCAATCACCACGCGCCACGTGGCAAGGCGGGCGGTGCAGAGGCAGCAGCAGAAGGGAGATGCAGCGTGGAGGGGCAGAGGGGCGAGAGGGGGCGTGCAGGAGAGGAGGGAGGGGAGGGCGTGGAGGGGAGCAGGTTGGATGCGGGAGAGGTGACGTGTGGGGCGGGGGAGGCAGGGGCGGGTGTGGATGAGGTGATTGAGGGTGGGATGCGGTTGGAGGGCAAGGGGCGGTGTGTGGTGGATGTGCCCGAGGCAGAGGGGCTGGCGGTGATGGGTCAAGGCGAGGGCAGGTGAGTGGCTCATGGGGCTTATGGAGGGGAGTCAGTCAGCACGTAAGCACGTTGTGTTGTTGCACACATGCATAACACATCAAGGGATTGCGAGTTAGCCCAATGCATCGTGCGCTTGTGTTTGAATCCATCGCGTGTGTGCGTCAGGTACCTGGCAGCGGTGTGTGGCCGAGGCATGCAACTCATTCACTGCACCGAGTCGGCGTCTTGACTTGACAAGTGCAAATGCACTCGCTGTTGCTCGACCAAACCAACTGCACCAGTGTTGCATGCCATTAGGACGATCTTCCATTATGAGAATGTTTATCAGTTCCTGTTGTCAGCTCATCATTAGTAAAACTTTCTCGCATGATCGCATCCAGCAGAAGTATTAAGCAGCATTAAGGTCAATCACTATGGCCGCATACATCTGATACCGTCATCACCCGGATAGTAGACAGTGTTGAATAGTAGACAGGGGTTGTCTATTATAAACAGGCTAGCCTCATTAAAAGACATCTATTTGTGTGTATCAGTTAAGCCAGTGTTAGGGTTAGGGGCAATTGTATAACGAGGGGGTATCTTCTAAACGGTTCTTTGCCTAATTATTAGACTTATAAGACACCCAAAACCTCCCCAAATACAAGAGAACCGAAGCATTTTTTCTAGTGTACGAGATAAGACATATGTCTTATATCCGGGCGATGACGGTACATTGTGCCACTACACCACAGGCTCTGAACCTAGCCGTCCTGCACGGACGCCTCTCCTCCACTGCCCACCGCCCGCCGCACAGCCTCTTTGATCTGCTGTGCCAGGCGGCGGTGGCCCTCCTCCCGCAGCGCTGCGCGGTACTTCTTATCCACGAAGATACGCTTGCCGTCCACACCAGGGCAGGGGAAGTACCAGAGGCGCACCGTGTACCCACACGCATGCGCCACGGCGGGGTCTGCTTCTTTAATGCGGTGGTCCCGCCCCACCTCCCTGTGGCACCCGCACTGCCCAGTGTCCACCTGCAACGCCTCCTGCAGCCACCGCCGCTGCTGCACTGCCCCGTCCCCCACACCTCTCGTTTGCTGCTGCTGCTGCTGCTGCTGCTGCAAACCCTTGCCCTGCACGGGCAGCTCAGCTCCCTCCCCTGCCGCACCCTCCCCTGCCACACAGTCCTGTGTGCTCGAGTTACTGAAGCTGCTGTCTGCACGGCACTCCACATTCAGCAAGCGCCGACCTCGCTCCTGTTCTTGCTGCCGCCCTTCCTTCTCCTCCTTGCGCTCCTCTCTCCGCCTCTTCAGCTCCTCCCTCCGCCTCTTCTGCTCCTGCTTCTGCCGCCGCCGCTGCTCCATCTGCTGGCGGCGGCGCAGCGCATGCTCCTCCTCGAAGCGCCCCGTGCCGCACACGCGGTCGATCAGCTCCAGCTTGTTGTCTCGCCCGTACGCCATGCCTGCCATGCACGCGCGCACGGCATGGGCGCAGGGGCAGGGCACAGGGCCCCAGGCATGGTTCATGGGCATAGGGCATGGGGCACGGTGCATGGGGAATGGGGCACGGGGCATGAGCGGTGGGTGCTCACCCTCCGTGTAGCGGTGGGTGCTCACCCTGGGTGTAGCGGTGCGGCGAGTCGTTGCGGAAGGCGACTTGGCTCTCCCACATCTGCGGGGCGAAGCGCTGCAGCCCGTGGAAGCGCGTGCGCGCCGCCAGCCAGCGCGGCGACTGCTCCTCGTGCACGCGGTACATGGGCACCTGGGGGGGAAGGGCAGGGGGCAGGGGGCAGGGGGCAGGGGGCAGGGGGCAGGGGGCAGGGGCAAGGGGGCAGGGGCGCAGGGGGCAGGGGCAAGGGGGCAGGGGCGCAGGGGCAAGGGGGCAGGGGCAAGGGGGCAAGGGGGCAGGGGCAAGGGGGCAAGGGGGCAGGGGCAAGGGGGCAGGGGCGCAGGTGAGCGGGGAGCAGCACAAGGACGGAATGTGAATGAGGTGCTGCATAGGGCAGCCGTGAGCACATGTTACACACCAAACTGCCATGCGCACACCGTCTCACAGCACACCGTCTCACAGCACACCGTCTCACAGCACACCGTCTCACAGCACACCGTCTCACAGCACACCGTCTCACAGCACACCGTCTCACAGCACACCGTCTCACAGCACACCCCACCACTCTGAGCCGCACCTTGAAGAGCTTCAGCCCGGCCCTCTCATGCCTGAGAGTCGCACGGCGAATGAGGTCCCAGGCGTGTGTGGTGATGAACTGGTTGCCATCGAACGCCAGCACCCACCGCGCCCCTGCTGCCCTGCCATGGTCCAATATGAAGTTGCGCGCCTCGTTCTGCGCTGCTCTGCCGCCATCCCATGCCATGCCATGCCATGCCATGCCATGCGCCACACATGCCACACATGCCCGCATGCATCACATGCCCCACATTCCCACATGCAGCCCCACAAGCAATGTCCACATGGCATGCACGCATGAGCCATGGCATGCACACATGAGCCATGGCATGCACACACACCAACCGCACAATGTGTGCAGCAAGCAGAGCACAATGCAGAGCTCGCAGAGATGACAGCAGGGAAGAAAGACAGGCAGGCAGGCACGGACAAGATCACGTGACAGGCTGTGATGCAAGGTTAGGGCGGGATGCAATGATGAGGGGTTAACACCTGTGACAGCCTCGGTGAACGCCTCGCCTGTGACAGCCTCGGTCAACGCCTCGCCTGTGACAGCCTCGGTCAACGCCTCGCCTGTGACAGCCTCGGTCAACGCCTCGCCTGTGACAGCCTCGGTCAACGCCTCGCCTGTGACAGCCTCGGTCAACGCCTCACCTGTGACAGCCTCGGTCCAGGAGGTCTCAGGAAGGGTGGCGATGTGCGAGTAGTTGATCCGACGGACAAGAATGTCCTGCACGGCGAGATGAGGCGGGCGGGAGAGGAGTAGCGGGAGATGAGTGAGGAGAGTGGGGGGAAAGAGAGGAAAGGGGGGGAGAAAGGAAGGGGGAACGCGGAACGGGCAAAGAGGAAGGGGGAAAGGGGAAAGAGGAGAGAGGAAAGAGGAAGGGAGAATCGAGGAAGAAGCACAGGGGGAATGAAAGAGGCAGGAAGGGGCATGGAAGCTAGGAGCAAGAGCGGGTGGCATCCCCTCTCTCGCATCACACTGTTTTCCCCTGCCCCCCCCTGTGCGGCCCCCTGTGCGCCCCACTGTGCCCCCCCCCTGTGCGCCCCCCTGTGCGCCCCCCTGTGCGCCCCCCTGTGCGCCCCCCTGTGCGCCCCCCTGTGCGCCCCCCTGTGCGCCCCCCTGTGCGCCCCCCTGTGCGCCCCACTGTGCGCCCCACTGTGCGCCCCCCTGTGCGCCCTCCTGTGCGCTCCCCATGCGCGCACCTGTGCGCCCCCCTGTGCGCCCCTCTGTGCGCCCCTCTGTGCGCCCCACTGTGCGCCCCCCTGCGGCCCACATGCGCGCACCTGTGGCGCCACGCCGTGCGCGAGCAGCGCGTCCAGCAGCAGAGCGCGCTCCGTGCCGTTCACCACGTGGTTCAGTACCCACAGCCGCCGGCACTCGCGCAGCGCGCGCGCCTCGTGCTGTAGCGCGTACAGCGTGTTGCGGAGCAGCTGCCCCGCGCACTGCAGCGGCGCCATGTTGTTGCCGATCAGCCGGTAAAGGAAGAACCGCGCCGTCTCTTGCGCCGTCTCTTGCGCGGGCGCTTGCGCCTCTGCTGTTGTCTCCGCTGCTCCCCGGGCGGCCTTGCTAGCGTCATCCCCATCCCTTTCAACTCCCCCCGACCGATCTGCTTCGTAGAGATGAACCCCTTCCACTCCCGCCTCCGTGTCTACCCATTGAGTCTCGTGCGCCCCGTGCGCCATCCGCAGCCCCCGCGCCCCTTGCGCGCCGTGTGCGCCATCTGCCGAGCCGTTGCGACCGCCAGCTGCGGACTGGGGCGGCGGGAAGAGAGGCGAGAGGAGCGGGGCGCAGAGGGCAGAGGGGGAGGCGGAGAGAGCCCAGAGCGCGAGCAGCGCGAAAGCGACGGTATAGGCGAGGAGCAGTACGAGGGGTGCACGCGGAGAGGTCGCGGAGAGCGCGGGTGCTTGGCATACATGGGCTCTTCGATGGTTCATGGCCGTTGGAAGGAGGCTTGGGCGAAGCAATGTGCGGGAGGTGAAGAGGCCAGCTGAAAGGTGAGGGTACCGAGGTGCGCTTGTAATGGGCCCTTCGGTCCATATGCACCTTATAAAATGCTCTTGAAATAACTCCAAACGCGATCAATTGTGAACTAGCGCGTCCTCAGTCTTTCGAGTTGTGAGTTGTGGGTGTGAAGACAGCAATACGGAAGTGATCACAACTACCGTACTCCTTAAAAAGTGGAGCCAACCAAAAGATATAGCAGAGTAGGCAAAAGCATCGAACGACATGAATGTTGCATATTCGGATGGCCCATCCTCAAATACACATAACAGAGCAATTCCAGCTTGGTTTGTGCGCACAAAAAAGCTCGGCGCCTGGGACGACGGCTGTGTCTGTCGACAAATGGTAACGAAGCGCATGGATACCTACAGGCGTAGGGAAAAGCATTGAACCACCTGAATGTTGTTGCAGATTCGGATGGCCCATACTCAAATACACCTACCAGAACAATTTCAGCTTGGTTCGTGCGAACAAAAAAGGTCGGCACCTGCGACGACGGCAGTGTCTACCGACAAATGGTAACAAAGCATGGATCCCTATAGGCGTAGGGAAAAGCATGGAACGACATGAATGTTGTTGCATATTCGAGTGGCCTGGCCCATGCTCAAGTACACCTACTAGGGCAATTTTAGCTTGCTTCGTGTGCACAGAAAAGTTAGGCGACTGCGATGACGGCTGTGTCTGCCCGTGAAAGAATGAGGAATGAATGAACTGGCAAGCAGGTGGGCACAAGTAGGAAAACCTAAAAGTGTTGTACCCCATATTGTGTACCCCGCTACAGCCTACACTGACTAAAGCATATGAGTTTGACACACCCCCATAGGCAAAGTGGGGGAGAACAAGAGGTCACAAGACCAGTCAAGCAAATCAAAGCAAGCTCAGGGTGGATCACAACATCACCACACATTCCGAGCACAAGTTCAAGACCACAAGTGTCAGAACATTATAGCTTATACATTTGTGTAGGCTGTAGTGGGGTAGCCCATAAGGGGTACAACCCAATTAGGGTTAGTACTTGTACCCAACTCTTTCATAGTTCAATCATTCTCTCGTTCTCATCTTCACATGGTATCAGAGCTGTTTCCCTCGTGGGAACTGTTCCTAGGGCCCACTGACTTTTTTTTCCTGCCCGGAGCACGCTTGGCCACTGCCCGAGTCGCGCCCAATGTCGCTCTTCCTCTAGCGGCCTCTAGCGGCCCCTTGTACGGCTCCTCACGGCCCCGTCGCACCGCCCTTTCGGCCCCGTCGCGCCGCCCTTGCGGCCCCGTCGCGCCGCCCTTTAAGTGGCCCCGTCGCGCCGCCCTTTAAGTGGCCCCGTCGCGCCGCCCTTTAAGCGGCCCCGTCACGCCGCCCTTTCGGCCCAGTTGCGCCGCCCTTTTGGCCCTTCGCGCCGCCCTTGCGGCCCCGTCGCGCCGCCCTTTTGGCCCCGTCGCGCCGCCCTTGCGGCCCCGTCGCGCCGCCCTTTAAGCGGCCCCGTCGCCGCCCCCTTACTGCGGCACTGTCGCCGCCCTTTCAGCGGCCCCGTCGCCGCCCTTCCACGGCCTCGCAGCCCGCCCTTACAGCGGTCCCGTCGCCGCCCTTCCGCGGCCCCGTCGGCGCCCTCCAGCGGCCCCGTCGCCGCCCTTCAGCGGCCCCGTCGCCGCTCGCCCTTTCAGCGGCCCCGTCGCCGCCCTTTCAGCGGCCCCGTCGCCGCTCGCCCTTTCAGCGGCCCCGTCGCCGCCCTTCCGCGGCCTCGTCGCCGCCCTGCGGCGGCCCCATCGCCCCCCCCCCCCCCCCCCCCCCCCCCTTCCGCGGCCCAGTCGCCGCCCTTTCAGCGGCCCGTCGCCACCCTTTCAGTGGCCCGTAGCCGCCCTTTCAGCGCCCCGTCACCACCCTTCCATGGCCCCGTCGCCGTTCAGCCGCCCAGCGCCCGAGCCGCCGAGCAGCCGAGCCGCCGAGCAGCCGAGCCGCCGAGAAGCCGCACCGCCGAACAGCCGAGCCGCCCGACCGCCGAGCCGCCCTGCAGCCGAGCCGCCCAGTAGCCGAGCCGCCGAGCAGCCGAGCCGCCCGACCGCCGCGCCGCCCAACAACCCAGCCGCCGAGCCACCGAGCCGCACCGCAGCCGAGGCGCTACCGCCTTTCGGCCTTCCCGGGACCGTCCCACTTGCCTGCCGCCCCTAGAGTAGCCGCCACTGCAGCAGCCGCCCCGGGAGCAGCCGCCACTACAGCAGCTGCCCTTGGAGCAGCCGCCACTGCAGCAGCCGCCCCTGGAGCAGCCGCCACTACAGCAGCCGTAGAGCTCTCGCTCTACAGTGGTCGTGACGTCGCCGTTGCCGTCGTCGTACGCCTGCCCCTCTCGCCACTGGTGAGCACTGCCCTGCCCGTACTGCTGTTACTGCTGCTCTTGCTACTACTGCTCCTGGCTTGGCCAGATGCAGCTCCAGCGTCGCCCGCGTGAGTCCCTCACCCCCCAACAGCTTCCTGAGTGGTACGCTAGTTGGGGTTGTCGGGTTGGCCGTAGTGGGAGTCGTCCTGGAGTGAGTGGTTCAGCAACTACTTGTAGTGACCAGATGCAGCCTCATCGTCGTCCGCGAGTGGTCCTCTCGCCCCAGCAGCTTCGTGAGTGGTACGCGCAGCGTGACGGGTCACGGGGTACTTCTCGCTGTCCGTACGTCTTTCGCACTGGTGCTCGGACTGGTCAGCCTTGCCGGACGTTCGGTCACGCACCGTCACACTGCTTTGCCCGTCTTAGCGACGCCTGGAGTACGAAGTTTGGCAACGCGGCTGAGCTCCCCGACCGGGTGGAGCTGCTTCGGCTGCGGGTCGATATCTATTCTCTTGACTATGATGCTATCCTCATTGCCATGTATGCATTGCCTACTAGTGATGAGGGTGACTGTTACCTGTGTGTTCCGCCTGACCCGGGCATTGAGGCTGCTGCTCTAGGTGCTGGTGAGGCTGCTGCTCTAGGTGCTAGTGCGTCTGCTGCCCCAGGTGCCAGTGCGTCTGCTGCCCCAGGTGTTGGTGAGTCTGCTCTCTCAGGTACTACGTCGGCTCAGGCCTTCCACACCTTCACCCTTGACTCGGGTGCGTCCCGCTCCTTCTTTCGAGACCGCACCACTCTTACGCCGCTCAGTCGGCCGGTTGCAGTCTCCTTGGCAGACCCCTCTGGGGGTCCTGTCCTTGCTAGCTTCTCCACTGTCTTACCGTGCCCGGCAGCCCCCTCTGGCACCCTGTCTGGTCTCTACCTCCCCTCGTTCTCTACGAACTTGGTGAGTGGAGCGGACCTACAGGATAGGGGGGTTGACCAGTTCACTCCTGCGAGTCAGCGAGTGACCCACTGCACGTGTGCTCGGACAGGCCGACACTTGGCCACGTTCACCCGTCAGTCAGGGTTGAGCCTGTACACCCTTACAACTGAGTCTCCTCCGGCTGCTGAGTCTGCCCAGGTAGCTGCGTCGAGTCAGGTGTTTGCTGCAGCGTCCAGGTCCGGTCCTGAGTCTGCTCCCTGTTCGTGTCGTCTGCTGTCCCACCAGACTCTCCCTTGGCACCACCGCCTTGGTCACCCCTCCCTGCCTCGTCTCCGAGTCATGGCCTCCCGTGTCCTTGTCTCTGGTCTCCCCCGGTCCCTCCCTCCCCTACCTCCGCGGCCTGCCCCTACCTGCGTTCCCTGCGTTGAGGGGCGGCAGTGCGCCGCCCCTCACTCCTCTGAGTTTCCTCCGACAGAGGCTCCCCTGCAGACTCTTCACATGGACGTGTGGGGCCCCGCTCGCATCCGTGGCCAGGTTCACGAGCGTTACTTCCTGTTGGTGGTTGACGACTACTCGCGTTACACCACGATGTTCCCCTCGCGCAGCAAGGGTGACGTTACTGAGGTGTTGATCGACTGGATCCGCGCAGCTTGTCTCCAGCTCAGAGAGAGTTTCGGCTCGGACTTTCTTGTTCTGCGTCTGCACTCGGACAGAGGCGGGGAGTTTTCCTCTACCCGTCTGGGAGCCTTCTGTCGTGCACAGGGCATCCGCCAGACCTTCACGCTTCCGGCCTCTCCACAGCAAAATGGGATTGCTGAGCGCCGCATTGGCATGGTCATAGACGTCGCTCGTACGTCCATGATGCATGCGGCTGCCCCCCATTTTCTGTGGCCGTTTGCGGTTCACTACGCCGCGCATCAGCCTTCAGCCCCGGGTCTCCCTGCCAGAGACCTCCCCCGCCTTGCGGTGGACAGGGAAGGTTGGCGATGCGTCTGCGTTTCGGGTCTGGGGATCTCGGGCGTTTGTCCGCGACTTGTCTGCGGACAAGCTGTCCTCCCGTGCTGTTCCCTGCGTCTTCCTTGGCGTCCCCCCTCACGCGCCTGGCTGGCAGTGTTCTGTCCTCCCCAGGACGTCACCTTTGACAAGTCGGTGCCTTACTACCGTCTCTTCCCCTACCACACTGTGCCTCTCCCCCCGCCGCCGCTCTTCCTTGCACCAGGTCCTCCCCCGGTAGACCCCCTCCCCCCTCAGGGTCCCGCCCCGTCAGGTGTGTCCCAGGTAGACGCAGTCGAGCCTGTCGAGGCAGCTGTTAACTCTGGTGCTGCTAGAGGTGCTGAGCCTGCAGGTGCCGGGTCTGGGGGTGCTGAGTCTGGGGGTGTGAGACTGGGGGTGCTGAGCCTAGGGGTGCTGGGTCTGGGAGTGCTGAGCCTGGGGGTGCGGAGCCTGGGGGCGCTGGGTCTGCTCGTGTGGCCGCCGGTGGTGCTTTGTCGAGGAGGGAGCCGCTCTCTCCACAGGAGCTGCGCGAGTTGTTTGCCCGCCGCTGGAGACGTGCTGCTGAGACAGGGGGTGCTCCTGGGGCAACTGGAGTTGGTCCTGCTGGAGCTGATGGCGGTGTTGGTGGTGCTGGAGCTGGAGCTGCTGGGGGTGTTGGCACTAGTGTTTCTACTAGCGCTGGTGCGTCTGGGGGTGCTGCTGAGACTGCTGGTGCTGACGCTCCTACTGGAGTTGGTGCTGCTGGAGCTGGAGCTGCTGGGGGTGTTGGCGCTGGCGGTGCTGCTGGCGCTGGTGCTTTTGAGGGTACTGGAG